TATAATCATGGGTCTCGTTCCATATAACTTTGTGCCAAAAGGATAATTACTAGAATTAGTCAGGGTAACCAATAGAACTAGAGTTGGTTTTAATGTAAGGACTGGAGATTAAATTTTGGGATCATTAATATGGAAATTGAGCCATAATCATAATTATTTTAACAATGAGGCCCCCTACAATGTCTTTGTGTAATTTGAGTAACATCATGATGACATCAAATTCACAGCTGGCCTTGACTAACTCATGGGATTTTGTTGCAGTTTTAGATTCGGGATTAGGTTTTAATGTCAGGATTAGGATCAGGATGACATCATCCACAACAACATCAATATTCATGCACAACAAACACCTGTGAGGTAGTCACCCTCCAGGGGTCAGTTGTTAAAAAAATATGCTGTGTTGGTGTAATGTACTCTGGTGAATAAGATGCTTGTCTGATGTTATTAGAAAATTATGTTAGGGTTAGTAATCCAAGTGAGAATATATACATTTTAAGACCTAACCAGGAACGACTGCGCAAAATGCAGCACAAGGTCCTCTGGTAGGAAATGAACCTACGGCCCTGCAATTCCTACCAGAGGACCTTGTGCTGCATTTTTCGCAGTCGTTCCTGGTTAGGTCATAAAATGTATATATTCTCACTTGGATTACTATCCCTAACATTCTAATATTAATTCCACCAAGTGAAGTGCAAGAATCCATATTGTGTGATGTTACTCTGACTGTATATCCACACCATGCAGGCTTGAAAAATATGCCTGGCCACGGTGGGATTCGAACCTATGACCTTTGGCAAAGGCATTGGCAGAGCATTGGGCTAGTATTCCAAAGGTTGTAGGTTCGAATCCCACTGTGGCCAGGCATATTTTTCAAGCCTGCCCGGTGTGGATATACACTCAGAGTAACATCACACAAGCATCTTATTCACCTGAGTACATTACACCAACAGTCCAACACAGCAAATATCATGATTATTAGATTACACTGATATTGAAGGAACTAGACTCAGTTCCAAAGTATTGCATACTCGAACCGATCTGACTGCATAGCTCAGTTGGCAGAGCATTGGGCTAGTCTTCCAAAGGTTGTAGGTTCCAATTCCACCATGGCCAGGCATATTTTTCAACCCTGCCTGGTGTGGATATATACACTCAGAGTAATATCACATGAGCAATTTAGAAATATTTCTTCAGAAATCTTGTCTGGATGAATGAAATTTTTCTTCAAAGCTTCGAAGTAAACAGGCATGCAGAAACACACAAACAAAAACACTAGGTTAAATTTTAACCAAGGATTAGCCTTAGCTTAGAACAACCGACCCCTGCTCAACCTACAAATATTAAGGCGCTATATTTAAAGCTTGGTGAAACCAAATAGACGACTATATAGACCCAATACTAAAGTAAACATTTCGTTTTACAGTCGACAATCAAATGTTGTAGCCATAAACTGTAGCAAAACACTGATAAGAGTTTTAAACAGAGTTTTTACTAATATTTCACGACTACATAGCGGATAAATGCAATTTATATTTTATTGACAACCGCCATGTGTTCGAGATCATATTACTATTTCACTAACAAAAGTTTACATACATACAAATTTGCATGCACAAATTATTCCCTGACCCCAGCGTAAATGCAAATTTAATATAAGTCGATTAAAAATTCTTACCTAACAGGAACATTAGGCCCAGATCTTTCAGTTTGGCTCTTGGAGAACCGCAGTTTTGAAAATTCACACGTTGGCAGCACGATGTCGCCAGTAGATTTTATACGGCGCAACCTTTCTTCAGTGATAAATTCATCATATTGTTGCCTCAAGAGCGATAATTCCCCTGAAATATGTTCGCTTAGGTTTGCTTGTTGAAATATTTCGACGAGCTTCCTAAGAACATCGACTTTTTTTAAAAGCTTCCATCCTGATAGCACCATGTAGCTTGTGATGTATTATTCTTTATCCCGTCAAGTCGACAAGTATCGAACTTTATTGTTGATCATTTGTATTGCGCAATCAAAATAGAGCCACCGTGGCAGACCGTGGCGCACATGACCACAACTTGCCCTGTGATTGGTTTGCAACGCTGCACCGTGGCAGAAAGTTACTATATTTAATAACAATTGCGCAATTTTTTGCACGCTGACCGTGGCATTTTGTGGCTGTGATCGCAGCTTCGAATTTACGACTGTTTTCCGAACATATTCGGCACAATTCGGCACGCTTTCGGCGGTTTTTATAGTTCAGTGTTTAACTGGATAATTATACTATTGAACAAGGAATATATTTCGGAAGTTTTTCCTGCTTTTAGCACGTATTACTGTAATATGAGAACAATTACAAAAGATATTATTCAAATTGTTTGCTATAGACCTATATTTGCTCAATTTTGCTGCATTTCAAATAACTAATATATACTTCTTAAAATGCGTAATGCAGTCTAATGCAGTATCCAACAAAGGTGAACCCCGGAAAATCCTGGGTGGGAAAAATCTGACCGTGGCTCGAGCCACTTTTGCCACGGTCTGGATCCGCGCCTGTACAGCTATTCTTGCGTTTGCGTCAGAAATGAAAACCATATCATCATACAATATACTCTTTTAGATCTTTCTTGGTGGCAATTACTTCGAAGAGCAGTTCGGGGATCCGAACGAGGCAAACAAAGATCATATCAAGAACGAAGCAATCATCGCTCTGCGAAAGACGCTTGCTATTCAAGAGAAACCCAGTAAAGTATGCGTTTCTGTTCACAGAGAGTGTGTACCACAATACAATGTTGGGCACAATGACTTGCTTCAATCCATGAGACATTATGTTGCACAATATAACTTACCACTGACATTTGTTGGGTCCTGGTATGACGGGGTTGGTATAAATGATTGTGTTTATCATACTCAACTTGCGGTGGACAAATTATTTAATAAATGAGTAGATGATATGGAATTACTTAATATTTTCAATTTGCAAAATTAATTTAAGTAACGTACGTGGGGAAGCAATTTAACTCCAGTGTGAGGTCAATGAGGAAGGTGTAATGTGGAATACTCTACTCAACAGTCAACACTAACACCATAAAACTAATAAAATAAGAAATGATACTTGACGAGAGTAAAAGCAATTTCAGGTTGGTAGGATGCTGATATTGTGCTGGTAACTATTGTGGTAGTATCAATACTAAATGACTAACACATTGGAGAATAATAAGGAGAATTACTTGAAAAATATTCAGTAGGAAATATGAATTGTTTTTAAAACTTATTTTATTCACAAAATGTGCGAAAAACTTGAAAGTTGAAATTAACAAAAAGTTGGAAATAATAAAAATTACAAAATTATAAAGTGTGCTTTCGTTTTGTGTGTAGTCGGGGGGGTCCGAGCCCCTGCAGTTTCTCGAACCAGTCTCTTTCTCAATGATCTCTCTACTCTGGAACATCCTCCTGCCCGATGCAGGGAGTGCATCAACTTTCATTAACTAAAAAACTAACAAATGTCAATAAACTGTTCAAGATTTACTTTACTAGATAAACGTTTTAATAATTTCCTTGTTGTAATGAATATCACCGATGCCACCCAAAAACACGCTCTTCTTTTGCACTACATTGGCCCCTCAGCATTTGACATTTTCGAAACTCTGACAGACACAGGCGACGCGAAAGATTATGACAAGGCAATCGATCGACTCACCGAACATTTTACACCACAGTGCAACATCGACTACGAAACATATCTCTTTCGCCAAGCTCGTCAACTACCGACTGAAACGCTCGATCAGTTCGCCGGCCACTCGCTTACGACAACTTGCCTCTATACTTGCGAATTTGATTCTATTGACAAAGAAATCAAGTCCCAAATAATTTTCAGCTGCTCCTCATCGCGACTTCATCGACGCGTGTTACGTGAGGAGGACGACTGTTAATTTCAACCTCGATCTCTGTCAAGATGGTGGTCATTTGCTCGACGTCTAACATTGCATTTCCAAAGCTTTTCTTCAGAGGCAACGTAACATTTTTCATAAAATCCAGCCCACCAAGGGGCTCTAGGTACTATGAATTTCACGGAAAATTCTTCTCCGACAAAGCTGTACGGGTTTCTTCGGATGTACGGGTTTCTTCGGATGTACGGGTTTCTTCGGATGATTTGCCAACACCTCTGCAACTTTTTTCCGCACATTCGAACGTTTTTGTCGTAACGCCAGCAAAAACCGTTCGGTTGTCATGTTGCTTACAAAGTGTGACTGCACGAGTGACTGTGCAAGTGAACAGGCAAATATATGCCTTTTCACCACGGTTTTTAAGATACAAAGGTTCAGCAAAGTCCAATCCAATGTTTATGAATGGAGATGCAGGTATAATTCTGTCAGCTGGGAGAGGTGCCATTTGTTGAGAGTCGATGTAAAATGACGACACACCATGCATCTCTTTGCTATTTTGCGGATCGTAGCTAGCTCTTTCTTTTGTCAACCAAAATCTTTGACGGACTACTGACAGTGTATGCTCAACGCCAGCATGCAATTCACGAGGATGAATATCTTGGAAAAGTTATTCCACAACAGGATGATCACTGGGTAGACTAATGGGGTGTTTCTCTTCCTCGGGAAACTCAGCCTCATGGATTCGACCACCAACACGAAGCAAACCAATAGATTGACACACGAAAAGAATCACGTTTCTTAATTTACTATCATTCAATGCTTTACTTTGTCCAATCAACGAAATTTCCTCTGAAAACCGTTCTATTTGGATTCGATTAATCAACCAACGTTCTGATTTTCAATCCAGTTAAGACATTTTGTCTTCTTTCATCCTGTCTAACTCGAGCATTGTGGATAAATCTGTTTATCCATCCTATGGTTCTCAATAACTTATTGTACTTGCTGAATCCGGTGAAGTCAATATTTATCTCTTGTGGCTGTATAACATAACATAACATGATACGTGATGATACTGACTCGATGCTTTCTCTCAATCTCAACATTTTCACTTAAAGATGCTGATCTAAGATCCTTTGGCCATTCTTCTTCAGAATTTGTCAACCAGGCAGGTCCTTCCCACTATAACTGACGTTCTTTCAACTCACTCGAAGACATTCCTCTAGTGGGTACATTGGTCCAGGGCAGTATCTCCAGACAGATGGATCTAACGATTGAATTTCCATAACGCGATTCGCAACAAATGGTTTCCATTGTGAAAGTGAACCAGTGAATAGTGGACGAATTATCAGTCCAGCAAACAGTACGATCAATTGGGCAGTCCAACGCATTGCGAACATAAGTGCACAGTCGAGCAGTAATAACCGCAGCCGTCAATTCCAATCTCGGCAGAGTAACTCTTTTAACGGGTGCTATTCTGGTTTTGGACATAAATAGACTGGTTGAAACATGTCTCTTAACAGACAAAGCTTGTAGATAGAGTGCAGATGCGTATGCAAGCTCCGATGCATCACCAAATGCATGAAGTTTTAATCGAGAATACTGATTCATGGGCAACTCTACATAACATATTGGGATGGCAAGGTTTTCAAGATATTTGATCTCTTCAGCTATTGTGTCCATTTTCTGCAGGTTTCAGTAGGTATTTCATCATCCCATCCAATGCCTTGGGTCCACAAACTCTGTAACAACATCTTTGATCTCACAGTGAATGGTGTGATTAATCCGATTGGATCAAAAACTTTAGCAGCGCACGAAGCCACCCGCCTCTTTGTGTATGCCTCAATCTGTGGTTGATCGATTTCAGTTATAAATGTCCAAGTATCCTTTTGTGTGTCCTACTTCAGACCAAGAGCTTTTGTAATTGAATAATTTTCTGGAAAACTTTGGTGCTCTATCTTCTTCAGGAATAAAAGAACAAAAGCTCTGGGGAATTACTTGACACTTGGTTAAGTTAAATGCTGCCTGCTCCATCAACTCCTTCGCACTCTGCTGCAGCTTTCTCGCTTCATCTCGATAAAAGGCAAAATCACCACATATGTATTTTTAAGAATTTCATCACACACTTCAGAATATAGTTCTTTATTTCTCTGTACATGCTCTTGGGTAGTACATATTAATATAAATGAATATATTGTTCTTTAATGTCACCTGGTTTTCATTCCATGGTATGGAAACTTCATACATGGGAAATTCTTCTGGAAAATTATACAAAAAATTACAAAATGATAAAGTGAGCTTTCGTTTTGTGTGTGTTCAGGGGGGTCCGAGCCTCTGCAGTTCCTCGAACCAGTCTCTTTAATGATCAATCTCTATACTCTGGAACATGAATAAAAAGCCGATTTTTAATTACATTATTTAAATATTTTGCAATTTGAAAAACCTATGATTTGGTTGGAAAACTTGAATTCTTACTCGGAGGAAGGTTAAACACTTTTTACAACTCCGTGAAGTGAATAACCAAGTTTGAACTTTGTTCAAACATGCATAATTGTTGAATGCGATGATGCCCAAAATCCGTTTCCAGCAGACAGTTTAAAAGTCCCAAAATCCAGCTGATAGTGATATTTCGACTTTATTTCAAAGCCTTCTTCAGGACAAATAACTACTTTGGTTATTAACCTGTGTGTCATGCAGAAAATTCAGAAAAGTGATTAACTGAAAGCCCCCCCTGAAAGATAGGAACAATGAAGAAAAATTGTTTTGTCATAAAAATATATTAATTGTAATTGCTTACGTAATCCACCGTTGCCAGCGTGTCGCGACAAGACTTTTCTTCATCTGTTTCCATTTGGTCGCGAACACTACTCTGACGACAGTTACAATACGTTCGCGACAGTTAACGATCATATAGCCTGCATGGCAGGCGGTCCCAGGCTTACCCGATTTTAGGGACCCCCTGCCATGCAGGCTAACGACCATATGGAAACCTGGCTTTAGTACCCACGCTCAGTAATACCTTTTATATAATAACCACAGCTGTGAAACACGGAATTTGATTGGTCAATACCTGTGAAGGATCAGACAATCCCGCACAAAAAAATTTAAATGCCTTCGCGAGGACTTTTTAAAATGTCAGACAATTAAAAAAGACAATAATTCATGAGGAAAAGACAAAGAAAATCACGCCGTGTCAATGGTTTTATATGTGATAAATAAAGCAAACTTTGACCATCATTTTAGGAGTAAAAAAATTTCCATCAATTCCTGTACATCAATTATTCTCAACACAGATCACAAGCCTTAGAGAGTCTCTTGAGTTCGAAGAAAGAAGTCCCACCCTTTGCGACACCACGGGTCCAGCGGTGGGTCCTCACTCTAGCAGCTTACGAATATACCATACGGTACAAAGTTGGAAAGCAGAATGATAATGCAGATGCATTGAGCAGATTGCCACTTGCTGAAATGCCTTGCAACGTCCCTCAACCAGGAAAGACAAGATTATTGATGGATCACTTGGAAGAAACCCCAGAAACTAGTGTGCTGAAATAAAGGACTGGACCACGTGATCCAGTGTTGTCGCAAGCAATGCGGGTTACATTAGATGGCTGGCCAATGTCGTGTGAGACAGAGCCGTTGAAACCCTGTGTAAGACGGAAGTTGGAACTCAGTGTCGAGGATGGGTGTCTTCTTTGGGGGAGAAGAGTGATAATTCCGCTACCAGGGAGATCGAAAATATTAGCTAGCAGCACTCCATTAGCAGCTCATCCAGGTGTATCACGTATGAAAGCTTTAGTAAGAAACTATGTTTGGTGGCCTGGCCTGGATGCTGAAATTGAGAAGGAAGTGAAAGGCTGCAACAAATGTTGACTATACCAGTCTGCCCCTGCCCCAGCATCCCGCCATCCATGGGAATGGCCTGGTCAACCATGGTGTCGACTGCACATTGATTATGCTGGTCCTTTCCACGGGAAAATGTTCCTAGTGGTTAAAGATGTTCATTCTAAATGGCTCGAAGTGCATTTAATGAAATCAACAACATCTGGGGCTACCATCGAGAAACTGAGAGAAATATTTGCAACACATGGGTTTCCAGTTACTGTGGTTAGTGATAACGGTCCAACCTTCCAACCTTTTTTGAACTGCAATGGAATCAAGCACATCACGGTATCTCATTATCATCTGCTCAAGTGAGTGCTCAAGGAGGGGATGGAGAAAATGGAAGGTGGTACAATCAAAACTAGACTGTCTCGACTCCTGTTAAAGTACAGGATTACGCCCCACACAATAACTGGAGTGGCCCCAGCAGAGCTGCTGATGAAACGACGACTGCGAACACACCTAGGCCTAGTACAGCCGAGGTTGGTTGAAAACGTCCAGGATAAGCACACGACCAGCATGCAAAAGAGCAAATCTTCGAAGACGGTGATAATGTGTTCGTGAGAGATTTCCGGAAGCCTATGGCGTGGCTGAAAGGAGTGATCATGAAAATAACAATGGGCAAATCTTGCGAAGTGCTACTTGTGCCGGGATGCTCAAGATGATGATCGAGAAATTACCAAACGCCAAGATTACCAAACGCCAGGATTACCAAACGCAGGATTACCAAACGCCACCTCCTGGAGATCTGCCCCCGAAGGACCAACGCGGTGTTCGTTTACCTGAAGAACCAGATCAGATTCTACCAGTTCAAGAACAACCAGCTAGAAGAGAACTACCAGCTAGAGAGCACCGTGTTCCACATTGCTTGCAGGAAACGGTTAGAACAGATAAATTAACTTTCTTGGTTTGATATTGAATTCATATTACAGACTGGTTCAGAACTTATTCATCTTAAAGGGGAGGAATGTAGTAATTGTTCCGGCCCCCGGAATCCCTGCGAACAGGTGTAACTAGTTGGGTACTTAGTTCATAGAGTATTAAAGTTAGCACGAATATATTGGCAACACAACAAACAAGTAGTACGTCATTTATGATTACTATATTACAAGAAGTATATATTATATCTATAGAGCGTTACAGACACTACATCAATTGTATTACAAAGCTTCGTTTCAACAAGAGCCGCTTTACTTTAATCTGATATAACAGCAGAACATTTATATGTACTAGTTAAAACATAAGCAGCCGATCTTTATCTGATATACAAACTCGAGCCGAAGGCGAGATCGAGTTTGTATATCAGATAAAGATCGGATGCGAATGTTTTAACGTACTTAAAAAACGACCCAGCTTATGAGTTCATTGGCGAAGTAATTTTAAAAATAAATATTGTCAAAGCCGAGAAAATCAAAGTTAAAGTTTATGTAAATCAGGACAAATCTTTATCCGATTTACAAACATTGATTAAACATTCCTTTCTTTTGTATTTTCTTCATGAATTATTAATGAGTTTTTAAGTTGCATTAAATATTTTCAAACTTTTGACTTAATTTAGATATTTTTTGCTATACTCACGCAGTTTATAGTAAATATTAATGCAATGCTGTAATATCCACAATATGATTATGATTTCTTGGCAGCCAAGAAATTTCGGACAACATCGTAAGGCAATTGTTTTGGCACATGCAAAATTTTCGATCAATATTTTATCCAACATTCCTTTGACGACATGGTTTTCCGACGGTATATTTGCAAGGAAAGCATGCAGTTCTTTTATTTGCGCATTTCAAATTTATTTTTTGTTTTAGTACATTGCATTACAGATATATATCAATTGTATTACACAGCTTCATTTCAACGAGAGCTCGAGCCTCTTTATTTTAATCTGATATAACAGTTGAAATTTATATGTTACATTAAATATTTTTAGTTTAAATGGTTTTTGGCTTAATTTAGATATTCTTTGCTACTAGCGCTGTAATATTCACAATATGATTATGACAACACTGAAATCGGAATATGAAGTTTGAAATTGGAATTTGTCGGTAAAATTATATAGTATATCAGTATATTATAGTATATTATATAGTATATTATATTAAATATTCTTTAATTTTTAAATGTTTCTAACGTGTAAATAACCTACATGTTTCAGGGAAAGTCAGGATAGAATCGATTTAAGGAATTTCGTTGCTTCTTTCCTAAGCGATTTCTTGATCCAGAAGAAGATTACAGAATTGATGCTTGAATTTAACATGATTAACGTTATTGTCCATTTGAAATATACGTCGTGGTCGATAGTTGCGTAGTCGAAGGGAAATATTACAGAAGGAAGCAAGAAAATGGCAAAACATACAACGACAATAAAGCAAGACTTTGCGTGCCTTATTTCCTGGAGAATTTTTTTTCTTCGATTTTGATTCTCTTCGTTTGCAGTTTCAACAGGCCTCTTTTCGGAGCGAGCCAGCCTTCGCACCACTAGATATATTCTTGTATAAACATACCCGGTGAAGACTAAATAAAACACTTTAATAACTGATGAAAAAATTGGTATAATTTTATCAGTATAAAAAGATAAAATAACAACCACTGCTACAACGATGCCACCTCCGCATACGTAGGTTAAAATTCTCTTCTTGGTAACTTGTGTTTGGTAGGAATAGGGATGTAAGACACCAATATATCTCTCCATTGCCATAGCTGATAATGTTATGATGGATAGTCCGCAAGGTAGAAACGTTGTTTGAACAGCCAGAATGGATATAATGCAGCTTTGATTGGCCAGGAAGGAAGAAGCTAAATAGTAGGTGTTCAGTGGCATACTAAAAATACCAACACCTAAATCGACGACGGATTGGACTTGGATAAGGTAGTAGCAAAGTTTGCTTTTTAATTGAGTTGATCTCTTGATTGTTATCACTGAGACGACGTTCAATAATATAGTTAAGATTATGAAAACGCCATTGACAGCAATAATCGCAATTTGATTATATGCATAAGCTTTGGAGGGAAATTCATTTACAATAACATACACGACTCCGACCACTTCACAGAATGTAAACGTGCTATTTTTCACGCCGTGATTCATGATGTCAGCTTAGGATCAACTATATAGCAACAATGATTAATGTATCCCTTGTATCTGCACGGCCTTTTATGTAAAACAAAATAGAGCCAATATTCGCATCAAGAGACCCAAATATTACTCACACTCTATTTTCTCACCTAATGCACGACGGTTAACAATGGAGTGCTAAAAGATCAATGTAAAAGAATATTGGGCGAATCATTTGGACGTTTAGTAATATTTTTCTCAACTTCTCTATCATTTAAATATGGCCACTCTACCCACTTCCATCATCAGTCACCCACGACTGCAAATCTGATTTGATATATACCTATCTAAAATGACATTCTACATTCCAGCCGTGCTGTTTTTTCATGCTACAAAGTGAGGTGGGGTTGAAAGTTTGCCCGAATTTTTATGGAGAATCGCAATGAAATAACCTGATTTTATATATTTTCTGATAAATCTGCCCGAATTCCGAATTTTCTTGATTTTTCCTAGCATTTGCCCGAATTTCCATGGTTTTTCAAAATTGGGGGGGGGGGGGCAGTTGCCCCTGCCCCCTGTATCGTACGCCTATACTAAATGCTAAAACTGCACGTGTTGCTGTGACTTCCAAAAACCATTTCTTCGTTTCTTGATCATATACGATAATCTTGTTATTTTCGTGGACGATTCTGTCAAAGCGTACTGGTTTAATATATTCAGTGAAACCAGGTTGTTACTTATTAAATATTCATGACGACAATAAGTGATTAGCACTTACAATGTACCTGCTCACTGATTGTCTCGCAGGGGGCGGTCTGTGTTCCCCTGGAAATGTTTCCCTTGTCCCCCACAAAGATTTGACCATGTTCCCCCACATGCATAGATACATACAGGAATATTTTCAAGGAATCAAGCATTTACTTTATGGACAGCTATAGTTTCGATTTAATTGCCAGTCATTAATTACTATAGGTCCCTGGCTTCTAATTTGGTTTCCCGTAGCTCGAGGCTTAACATATACATATATTCATGATTTTTTGTTATTTTTCATGACTTCTCAGTTCTCATCTGTGGATAACTTTTTTATCCATTCCAACCAGGTTTTAGGCAGGGAGGGACATAAATTGGGAAGGGGTGTTTGTAGCAAAGGGGTTACTGATTTTGCGGAAGCAGGCTGTTAAATGTGAAATGGAATAAGAGATGAAAATGTTAGTATTTTAGTTTAGTATTTTTGCACAAGTGAACATAACAAATCCTACAACCTAATTCACCAACAAAACCGAAATTTGGAAAATAGCGGCTATAGCCATTTTGTGGAAGTTTAAAGATAAAGAAATAAGAGAAATTAAAGTAAATTCAGTACCAAAAACACACAAAAGACTTGTGTAAAAATACTAAAACAATTATTCGCCTCATGCAGGCTCGTACCCTGGATTCCAGAGCCTTCGACAGTAAATAATAAATTGAAACGTCGCGAAGGCTCTGGTTCAACGGGGAGATTCTTTGATTAAACCGCGCCAATCACAAAACAGAATTAGTGATTTTAGTACAGAATGGTTTTAGTACTCGACTTCGTCTCGGTGAATATTCCCCCATAATCACCTCGTCTTCGGCGAATAATTGTCAAATAGTAATATTGGTAGTGAACCATTTTCTTCGACTAAGCAATATGCACCATAGTATTTCGCTTCATTCTACATGCATGCATGCATGTATTATGTCAGAGGGTTTGATTTTTTCGGGCCATGCAAGCTCATGAATTAGTTTAATGCCCGAACATTTTACTTATATACTGCATGCATGATTGTCACTAGGTCTAGGACTAGGGGTTTCTTTGGATTTCAAGGATTAATATATAGGTGGAGAAAATTTTACTGTTACATTAAGAATATTTGCCGAGTTTAGGCGAAAACTTGTTAAATGGAAATTTGGGGAAGGAGGATAAAAGAATTCTAATAGTTTAGCAATATACGGCCTTTTAACACCTAATCAGAACAGTTTAATGTAAGACATGCATGCAGGCTGTAAATAACATATATATTTTTTGCACAAGTGAATATAACAAATCCTACAAGTTGATTGGTCGAATTTAAGCTGTTATATTCACCTGCAGGTGAATATAACAAAAGCGAAATTTGCAAAATGGCATTTCGCAAAGTGTTTCGCTTTACTTTACATGCATGTATTACGTCAGAGGGTTTGATTTTTCCGGGAGGCTCATGAATGTGTTTAATACCCGATAATTTTACCCATGCATATATACTGCATGATTGTATATACTAAGGGGTTTCTTTGGATTTAAAGGATTAAAGCGTATACAACTTAATATTTTCGATCAGTCTTATTGAAGGAATGTTACTTGTCAGAAATAAAGAAATGTACAACTTCTATAAGGCCATATAAAAAAAAATAGTTGGTTAGCGTCCTTAGCTTTCTCCAAAAAGTAGGCGGGCGGGCGCTTTTCTTTTTAATTTTTACTAATTTTGAACGCCTTGTTTTAGGTCCGAAACTGGATTTTCTTGCGCAGTACAGATATTTTTTTATATATTTCAAAATAGGATTCACACCGTCATTTTCGCACGCAATTTCGCAACTTATTAACACATTGTGGGCGGCAGGCGAGGACGCTAACCAACTATTTTTTTTATGTGGCCTAAAGTAAGAGTCTAACAATTAGTCACAAAAATGACGTCACCACTGTTGCTATGGCAACAATGACGGTTCAACATTGCCGTTGTTTTGGCTTTTAACGCACTTTACTTGGAAAAAGCCTAGTACCCCCATTTACCCCCATTTCAGTTTATTTCACACAAATAGACTAT